CTTTCTTGGGTATTGACGTGGGCTCCATGATTATGATGCTTTGTACTTTGCCTTACTCTTAAATATTTACGCAGCCATTCTTTTGTTCATCCAACAAATATTTGCTGAGTACATAAGTACAGTATACCTTGGGAGGAGAGATAAGCTCTATTTAAACAGCTGTAGCAATGGTGGTACACGGTTTTGGGAGAGTGCAAAAGAAGGTGAGACTGCTTGCAGCTGGGGAGAGCCAAAAAGGCTTCTTGGGTTGGGATTGCCATCTGGGCTTGAAGGGTCTGAATTTGGCTGGCAGGGCATTTAGGGGGAGATGGAGGGAGGGAGGCATGGACACGTACAGGGCACAGGAGGTATAGTTGCAGTAGGAGAGGTAGGCAATAAGGGCAGTGGGGGACCAGAGCACAGGGCCTTTGGTGCTAGGTTAAGTGGTTACTACTCTGGGGAGTAGCAGTGGGGAACTGCTGAAGGTTTTTACAAGGGTAGTGGCATGGTCTTGAAGCAGTTGTCAAATGAAACTTGTCAGACCAGGACACAGAGGATTGAGCCTCTGTGACTTGAGGTGTGCCTCTCACGGCTTTCAGAAGAGTTCCCTGGGAGCATTAATGGCAAGACTTGGTTCCGAAGGACAGTTCTCCACTGCAACCTCTGTTGACTTGATAACTCGTGCCAGCTTTCTCTTGAGTGGGACCCTGGTGGCCAGCTTGGATTCAGCCTCTCCCGTTCTGCTCTATCAGCCCTGGACTCACTCTGTCCACTTCCCAGAACCTGCCTCTGCCACATAGGCCATGCGGTGGCTTGATTCCCATAATCCTCCAGGATCTGTGTAACAGGATGGCACTCCCGCCTCCCACTCTGGTTTTGACTTTTTTGTTTCTCTTTAAGAGCTGAAAGCTATGAAAGCTAGTAAGTTTTTTTTGGCTCCACTGTGATGCTGACATAGGGCAGAGGAAGAGACTTTTGCAATGTTAAAAGGTGATAAAGACTTGGTTCAAGGTGTGGGGAGATGGGGGGAAAAGGGGATGAATTTAAGAAATCTTGTGCAAATAGAAGTGACAAGATCTGATGGTTGAATATGAGTGTGAGGGAGAAGGAATCAAATAACAGTGCTGAATTTTTGAAACTCTGAATTGAAATGGTTTTGAAAGGACCAGAAGACACTCTTCTTACTTTTACAAAGTTGAACTGAAGAAAAATGTTGTGGGCAGAGCTGTCGAAGAGGCATTTTTTTTAAAGCTTTAGTGGTGATTATCCTGAAGGGTATAATGAGCAGCCTGGTGAAGTAAACTGTACCAACACAACGTCCAGCACAGGCTGCAATAATTGAGTAGAATTAGAAGAAATATTTACCAAAAATGTTGATATAATAAAATGTGAAAGTAGTCCTTCCATTGGTCCTAGTCTTTATGTTATTGAGTAACTACCTTTTATGAAAAATCTGGCACTGTGTTTTACAAACAAATTCAGAAAGGAAATATTATACTAAATTGGGGAGTGGGGTGGGGAAGGAAGGCAATTCAAAACCCAAGAATCTTGAAAACTGAAAACAAGCTGGTCCCAGCGGAAGTTCTTGTATGTGGTACCTGTGGGCTGATGGACTTCATTTGAATGCTTTCACAGCGGGATAGTAAATGATAGTAATAATAGTCAAAATTTATTGAGCAACTAAAGTGTCAGGCACCACTCTAGAAACTCTTTTACCTGAAGACCCTCTCATTTAATCCAGATGAAATCCTGTGAAAATGGGTGTCTTATTCTCCCCATTTTATAGGCAGAGAAAATTGAGGCTCAGAGAGAGAGGCTCCATGTAACACAGCTACTAACTCATGCTTTTTCTTTGGCTCGTTAATGCTAATGTTTCGTTCAGTTGGCTTCACTTTGGGGATGCACTGAGGACCTCTGATGTGCTGATAAGTCTGAAGCATCTCTGAAAACGTAGGTTATGTTTGATGGCCCCAGTTAAAGGGTTACACAGACGACCTGCTTTTGGCTTCTCCTTGACTTCTTAGTTCAGCTTACGGACATTGCCTTGGTAGTTGGCTTGGGGGCACCATTTTCACCATTGTCATCGGTTTAATTACTATGGGTTAGTGAACCATTTCTATGTGCCAACGCCAGTGCTGAGCACTTTACTGCATTATTTCATGTAATTACCACAACAATAGATTGTTCCTCTTGTCTTCCTTTTATACATGAGGAAGCCACGTGAGAGGCCACTACTGCTAAGGAGCAGAGATGGAACTCAAACCCATGTCTGTCTGACTCCAGAGTCCATGGTCTTGACCACAGTGGCATTTTGCCCCAGCAACAGGCTTTCCTCAAAGTGTCACGATCCCTACATTGGACTTTCCTTCGTTGGGGCTTAGTTAGGCTTACTATAAATCTAGATGCATTTCGGGGATTGCTGTAGGTTCTCTTTCCCCTATAACTTGTGATGTTCTTAGCCATGTTATTCACATTTTGAACCAGTCGTTAGGTTAGTTACCCAAGGAAGCTGGGATCCCCCTTTTTTTATAAGTGTTGCCTAGTGGGTGATGCATTGATGGTACCGGATGCAATATGCAAATCACAGAAGCATTTTTCTCATACATTGGGAGGGAGTGGTGGCATCATAGCACCTCAGTGGAGACCGGGCATCTTTGAAGGGAGTCTTGGTGGTGTGGCAGGAAATCTGCTTTCAAAGCTTTGTAGAGCTCACATAAAACGACATCCATCTCCTTTCATTTAAATCCAAATTCTTGCCAGAGTGCAAAAATTAGCATCAGAAATTAGCAGGCTGCTCTTCTGCTAGACAAAATAGTGGTTATTTGGCTCTAAAGGGCACATTTTGTTAATCGTTTATATGTTTCAGTGAGGTGAGACTCATTCTCATTGTGGGAATTCTCAAAGATGTCTCACTCCTATGTAAGAAAATTATAGGCAAGGGTATTGAATTTTATTTCTTATGCACTATATAAAAGTTAATGAAAATAATAACCAATTAGACAGTTATAAAGCCTGAGTGTATTAAAGTGTTATGCAAATATTGATTAATAGTAATACCATAAACTCACAGAGCAAGCAAAAGCATGCCTGGTTTAAATTATAGGAGCTTTCATTTGCATTTCCACCGAAGCTATTATTAGTGGGTCTCAAAGCACCTTACAAGTAATAATTATTAAAGCCCATAAATACAGGCAGGAAATGCATTTTATTGAGGGAATAAGTAAGAGGTCCCCTTTACCTCATACATATTATGAGACCTAAATGCCTGAGCTAAAATAGACTTATCCATATAAAGAGAATATTCCTACACTGTGGGTGTTTGGGGCTGTGATTTATAGGTTAGAAGTTGACAGTCATGGATTCAAGGTTCTTTTTTTAAAAAATTTTTGTGAGTTTATTTGAGCCAAAGAGGTTCTTGTATTGAGTATCTCAACCCATGTGAATTCTTATTGTTAAAATTTTATATGTACAGCCGAGACCGGTTTGGCTCGGTGGATGGAGCGTCGGCCTGCGGACTGAGGGGTCCCAGGTTTGGTTCCGGTCGGGGGCATGTACTTGGGTTGCGGGCACATCCCCAGTGGGAGATGTGCAGGAGGCAGCTGATCGATGTTTCTCTCTCATCGATGTTTCTGACTCTCTGTCTCTCTCCCTTCCTCTCTGTGAAAAGTCAATAAAATATATTTTAAAAAAATTTTTTTACATGTACAATCACTCAAAACAAATCTTGTCAGTATGTTATATTTTAATATTTCTCTATTAACTATAATATCAAATTGGAAAACAAAAATTATGCCAAGTTCACTTGAAAGTATTTAAAAATACTTTGGAATGTTATTTCAGGTTTATTTTTTCTCAGGATAATACCTTATTCCAAGGCCTAACAGCTTTTAGGCACAGTCAATGGGACCTGTATTGATTTCCATACCCTATAGCAAGTCTCTGAAAGGTTGTGAAGATTTCTAATCTGCTTTAAAATATTCCTTTGCCCTTTCTCTCTTATTTCTCCTCTTTTTTCCTTCCTTTGCAACTACCCTACTCTCTAAAGCTAAGCACAGGTTGGAAAAGCTCAAGACTATTCCCAGTGCCTGACTCTCCCTCTATCTTGAGTCCTCGAGCTGCCCCCACATGGTTGGTTCTCAGCCTTATTTTCTTCTGGTGCCGAGAGACCATATTGCAGTGGTTGGTCACTATTGTGAAGCAGCTGTACTTCCATGTCATACTTCAGGTTATACTTCAGTGTCACATAGATTCCAAGAACAGTGTGGACTAGTGGACACCTTCCTTTAGAGTTGGGGACAGACACTGGAACCCAGAAAGAATGAGTGACCTGACTGAGGTCATACAGCTGCTATCTGTCTCGGTAGAACTGGGACCAGAACTCAGGTCTCTAGACTCCTAAAGGTTTCCCCTCTACCTTTACATGACAGTAATTATATGATGCTTTGAAACACACACACACACACACACACACACACACACACACACACACACACACTTTAAACCAGAACACAGGACCAGAAGTAGAAGAAATAGTTTGTTGGTGTTTTATCCAGGGCTATGGATCAGCAAGACAAGGGCTGGAGCCTCAGGCATCTGAAGACAAATGGAGTGATGAGTGTGCAGAGCTGAAATGGTGGGATTATTGCTGTGCAGGAGTTGAACGATGGGGGTAGAGGGGAATGAAGAGCCAGTTGAAATGAGAACAGGGTGAGGTAGGATGGTAGTCATTGAGGATTGGGAGGATGTTGAGTTTATGGCCATGTCAAATGAAGAAAAATTCTATTGGTTACTGGATGGATGGTCCTTAAGGACAGCAGAGTCTCTCAGGATGACCTCAGAAGGGGAGGGAGAGATAAAGGCATGCGCAGCATGTATCAAGGTTCTCAGTGCATGCGGAATAATTCATTTCTGGGAAACGGTGGTATTAGGGAGACTGGAGGAGTGTATATGAATTATATAGATGTGTGTCTATTCTGTGAGAGATGCTACATGTCTAAATTCTAATATTCATGTTTTTCCAGGGAAAACTGAGGCTGCAATCAAAAACTTCAGTCCCTTCTACAGTCGCCAGTACTCTGTGGCCTTCTGCAATCATGTGCGTAGTGAAGTAGAACAACAAAGAGATTTAACATCACAATTTCTGAAGACCAAGGTAGCCCATGACCATTTGGCTTTATATCTTTCTCCCACTGAGTAATGCTTTATAATTCACTAGAGGCCCGGTGCACGAATTCATGCACCAGTGGGGTCCCTCAGCCTGGCCTGTGGAATTGGACCAAAACTGGCTCTCCAACATCCTCTGAGGGGTCCTGGATTGCGAGAGGGCACAGGCCAGGCCGAGGGACCCCACTGGTGCACGATTGGGGCCGGGAGGGACGCAGGAGGTTGGTCAGCGGGGATGGACCACGGGAGGGCTCCAGGGCATGTCTGGCCCATCCGGCTCAGTCCTGATTGGCCGGACCCCAGCAGCAAGCTAACCTACCCCCTGGTGGTCAGTGCACATCATAGCGAGTGGTTGAGTGGCCTTAGCATATCATTAGCATACATATTATGCTTTGATTGGTTGAACTGACGACCGGATGACTGGACACTTAACATATTAGGCTTTTATTATATAGGATAATATATCTGAAAGAAGCATTCATCTGAATGGCAATTTTTAAAAAAAATGTGTTCTCAGATCATTTCATGCTCAAAAAAGTCTTATTTACCTGGAAGTTAGAACATATGTGGTGTAATCCATATTAAGAAAACTAGCATGATCCAGTTTTATTATGTTTTCCTCACATTGATATCAGCCAATTTGACTTGCTGTAGTGAAGTTCAGTTTACAAAGTCATAATTTTAGTGCCTCATATTACCATCATTTTTATTTTGGTCATTGATCAAATATGATTTTCTCTTCTAATCCCCTAACTTATTCTTTCTCCTTTGCTCTATTATAATAATTATTCACGACTTCAACCAATAATGATTGACACCTACTATGTGCCAGGCCCTATGCCAAGAACTGGGGAACCAGACGAATTCTCTGCTCCCTGTTTATATTCAAATGTAGGAGACAGACAATAAACAAATATCAGGTGATAATAAATGCTACAAAGAAAAATAGAGCAGGAGTCCTCTTTTAGAGTAGATGGTCAGAGAACCCCTCTGTGGAGGTGACATTTGAGCAGAAACTGGAGTGAAATAAATGTAGGCTGTGTGCCTATCTGTGGGAAGATTGGTCCAGGCAGATGGCACAGCAAGTACAGAAACCGAGAGGTAGCCACAAGCGCATTGGGAAGGCTGGTGTGCTGAGAGCAGTGCAAACAAGGGAGGAGGGATGAGAAATGACTATGGAGTGACAGGTAGGGACTAGACCACGTGGGACCTGTAGACTACAATCAGGTGTTTATTTTAAGTGTTATTTGGGAGGACAGAACATTAAGCCCTGGGATTTGGAAGGGAATTTATTTCATCCCTGAAAAAGATGAGCAGTTCTATCCTCTCTGGGTGGTTCCTGTAAATGTTGCTTGAAAGTGGAGGAACGAGTTTCTAAAGGCATTATGATCTTTAATAAAGGGAAAGTATGCCGGGGTCCAGCCTCAGCAGGCCAGGGGTTCCCAAAGGTGTGGACGGAGTCGGCGAAGAACGTTTTACACGGAGACAGCGTTCAGAACTCTCTAGCTCTGTTTAGTCTCCGTGGATCTTCCTGTGCCTTGCTGAGGCCACAGAGAAAAAATCTCGAGGCAAACTGAGCCTTTATTTTATAGTCAGAGGTAAACAAGGTAGTGGTTTCCATAGTTACACTGTTCTTGTGAGTTTCACTTGTTTTGACCATAGTTACACTGTTCTTGTGAGTTTCACTTGTTTTTGTTCTTGTTCTTGCTGCACTTCCCTCAGCCCATTAGCTTCCCAGGTAAGATCTAGGGAGCGTCATAAGGTCAAGCCTAATTATGCTTAAGAGGACTGTGCCCTCTAAGCTGGGACTCGTTTGTGACTTTGCCAACAGGTCAGTCCCAGGCTTAATCCTATATCGGCTCCCCACAAAAGTAGATGTAAATTCATGTAAAAGACAGAAGATCCATTTCCATATTTTGAGATAAATCAGGAATTGCACTGTAAGGCAGGATGGGAATGGTTCCTACCACAAGTAGCCCCGTGGGAGACCTAACTGGAAATCTTACAGAGACTCTCCTACAGCATCTATGCCACCAGTTAATGAAAAAAAATCCTCAAACTTTTAAGTAGAGGCAGAACTGGGCTGTGCTGGTTTGCCTGCTATTCTTTGATCGGAAAGCCAATGAGGTCTCCTGGAGAACAGGCTCAGTGTTTACAGCCTGGCTCCCAGGGCTTTGGGGCCTGGGAAAACCAGTGAGCCTGACATTTTTAAAAAATATATATATTTTTATTGATTTCAGAGAGGAAGGGAGAGGGGGAGAGAGAGAGAGAGAGAGAGAAACATCAATGATGAGAGAGAATCATTGATCAGCTGCTTCCCTCACACCCCCTCACCAGGGACCGAGCCTGTAACCTGGGCATGTGCCCTTGACCGGAATCGAACCCAGGACTCTTCAGTCCGCAGGCCGATGCTCTATCCATTGAGCCAAGCCAGGGCCATTGAGCCTGACTTTTGAGGCTGCCTGAAGCTGTGATGAATAGGGGAACAGCCTGTTAATTTTCCTGTTTTTCAGGACTTAAACTGAGGCATATTCCTGGTGTTGGGATGGATTTCTGCAACTTAACTGCTTCCCTCCCTCTCTTCCACAGAGTTTATCAAGGATTTATTAAGTGCCACGTGTATGCCAGACATAGCTTTGTCTCTGTGGCACCATGGAGGGAAATGAAAGCCACAAAAATATCAATAAGACAAATATTTGCATCTGATCAGGAGGGTGGGAAAGGGAAGTGTGGAGGGAGGGGAAGAAGCAACCATTTCTCCAGGATGTCAGTTTCCTGAAATATTCCTTGAAATGCCAGGGACAGACTTAGTGGTAGCATGGTATGTTATCTTTTGTGGCCATCACTAATTGTATTCATCTTCTTTAAGCCACCATTGGATCCTGGAACCGTTTTGTATGAAGCAGAACTATGCCAGTTTGCCGAAGATATAAAGAAATGGAAGGAGAGATATGTGGTGGTTAAAAATGATTTTGCTGTGGAGAGCTATGAGAACAAAGAGGTAGGATATTTCCTTGTTACCCCTGGCTTCTCCCAATACTCTTAAAGATTGGGTGTGTTGGTTGTCTTCTTCAGGATTGGTTCTTTCAATCAGCACTCACTCTCTAGCAGGCACTCATTCCAGTTAATAGATGTTTACTGAGCGCCTATTACTGGTATATGCCGCATATCATGAAAGGTCTGGGCATATTGCAGACAGATGTTTGCAGTCTAGTGGGCAAGATAGACTTTGAACAACTCATTGCAAGTGAGTGTGAAAACAGGTTATGCCTCGTGACGAGTACAGGAGCCTTTCCTATGACAATTCAGCTTCAAGGTCTTTCTCAGTCACTGCCCCGCTGCCCCTCCCTTTGCTCTGTGTCTCCAAGTCTCCCCACACATTATTCATTCATTCATTCATTTTAATCCTCACCTGAGGATATGTTTTTCATTGATTCTAGAGAGAGAGGAAGGGAGGGGGAGAGAGACAGAAACATCCAGGTGAGAGAGAAATATCTATGGGTTGCTACCCATATGTGTCCTGATGGGATGGAACCGCAGCCTGGGTTTGTGCCCTGACTGAGAATTAAATCCACAACCCATAGGTTCACAGGATAATGCTCTAACCAACTGAGCCACACTGGTCGGGCCTCCCCATTCTTAAGCCTCCTACATGTCAGGTGGCTGAGGAGTTATTTAATAAGGTTATGATTGAGCCCTGGCCGGGTGGCTCAGTTGGTTGGGATGTTGTTCCTTACACCAAAAGGTTGCAGGTTTGATTCCCAGTCAGGGCACATACCTAGGTTTCGAGTTCAATCTTGGTCAGGGTGCATAAAGGAGGCAACCGATCAAAGTTTCTCTCTCTCTCTCTCTCTCTCTCTCTCTCTCTCTCTCTCCCTTTTAATCCCTTCTTCTCTCTCTAAAATTAAACATCCTAGGGTGAGGATAAAAAAAGATTGTGATTGAATTTGCCTGAGTTCCTAGGAATTCAGAGCATTTCACATACTTACTTCACCTGTATTTATGGATTTTTTTCTTTAAACTTGTTCCTGGTTATCTCATTATTTTTCTTGTCTGTGAAATGTGGGGGAAAATGAGATTATGAACGTAAGTAAAGTGCCTAGCAGCCAGAAGGGCTTCAGTTTTTATTGGTCCCCATTTCTTTCCCCATGGAAAGTATTGTGGCATAGAAGAAAGAACACTGGACCATGAATCAGGAAAACTAAAGTTTAGGCTGGGCTTCCATTAAACTGGAGAATTAGGCTGAGTGATCCCAACAGTTCCTTTCAGATCTCCTACTATACACATTTTAAATCTACACAGAATCTCAAGCTGTCTTTGAAATGAATAGTTATTATTTTTCAGTTAGTAGTAACAGATTTAAAACTTTGCTCTCTTGCCCTAGCCAGTTTGGCTCAGTGGATAGATTGTCAGCCTGTGGACCTAAGAGTCCTGGGTTCAATTCCAGTAAGGGCACATGCCCAGCTTGTGGGCTCAGTCCCTAGTAGGGGGCATGCAGGAGGCAGCCAATTAATGATTCTCTCTCATCATTGATGTTTCTATCTCTCTCTCTCCCTCTCCCTTCCTCTCTGAAAGCAATAAAAATATTTTTAAAGAAACAACCAGCCGAAACCGGTTTGGCTCAATGGATAGAGCGTTGACCTGCGGACTGAAGGGTCCCGGGTTCGATTCCGGTCAAGGGCATGTACCTGGGTGTGGGCACATCCCCAGTAGGAGATGTGCAGGAGGCAGCTGATCGATGTTTCTCTCTCATCGATGTTTCTGACTCTCTATCCTCTCTCCCTTCCTCTCTGTAAAAAATCAATAAAATATATTTAAAAAATTAAACCTAAAAAAAAAAAACCCAACCAAAAAATCCCACTTTGCTCTCTTGACACTAAACCGATAAAAGGAGACTTCAGGCAGCAGACCAATGTGTTTCCTTCCTTCCCATTTCTGATGGAAAATAGAAATAAAGTACAATATAAACTTATTCCACAGGCAATCAGGCAATGCTGTCTTGAGTAGTCTTATTCTTTGCAACATTCATTAAGCTAATGTTTTCTTGACTTACCTATATTAGGATTTTATTCAACACTTGATTTGCTCTCTGTAGCAAATTATCAATACACTACAAATAATAATGATAATAAGTCACCTTTACTTATTTTAAAAAATATGTTTTTATTGATTTTAGAGAGAGAGGAAGGGGAAGGGATAGAGAGATAGAAACATTGACAAGAGAGAAACATCATCAATCGTTGCCTCCTGCACACCCTCTACTGGGGATCGAGCTTGTAACCCCGGGCATGTGCCCTGACCAGGAATCAAGCTGGTGACCTCTTGGTTCATGGGTTGACGCTCAAGTCACCTTTATTTTGTATGACATGGTACAATGTCCTCTCAGGGAAGCTTGAGAAGAGGTAGTATTGCAGAATAGTTAATATTGTGGACTTTAAATCACACCTTTATCAATTATAGATGTGTCCTTTCCTAAGTCATAAATCTCCTTGAGCCTCACCTTTCTCATCTGTGAAATGGTGAGCATGCTCCCTTCCTCATGATGTTGCTCTGAGGATTAAACAAATGAGTGTATTGAAGCCCTCAGCACATGGCCAAGCACTGGCAGAGCCCGATGTAGAGCAGTTGTCAGTATGATTACTACTAAAAAATTGGGAGGAAACACTCACAGAGCTTCCTCTTATATTTATTATGGTTTTAACCATATTTGGCACTAATTGAAGTTTCATTTTGAATCAAAACTGGTGTTTTTCCTCTTTTTAGTGTTTTAAAGCTTTCTCCCTCAACTTTCAATTTATTTGCTCATTATTTTCAAGTGAAACTGGATTTTTCAGATACGGTTACTGAATTAGATAATAATAAAGTATTAAAAACTATTTTGCTCATCATTTTCAAATGGTCCAGTTTGGATTTTTAAGATACGTATTTTAAAGATATGATTACTGAATTTGGTAATAAACAAGTGTTAGAAACTTGGAAATTTAAAAAATGGCATGTAGTTTGCCATAATTCCTCCAAGTTTTAATATTTCTTTTATTTAGAGAAGAGTGTTTTTAAAAATTATACCCAAGAGTTATACATTAAGTACCTATAAATTGCCTATTATTTTACGGGGGGTTCGGTTTTGGATGGTAATTAAGTAGGAAAAATGAAGCATTCTCATTGGATAATCATTTAATTTGTACTTCCTGTACGGTTGCACTGGGCTAGACAGACCCAGGTATGAGTCCTGGGTTTGTCACCTACTCACCGATGGGCCATCGGTAGGTTATTTAACCCGTTTTCTCATTTATAAAAGGGAGATAATAACTAATTCATAGTGCTGTTTTTAGGATTAAAGGATGCGGTGCTCATAAAAGCCCAGATTGGGGCCTGTTATAACAAATAACATAATTTAGATTTAACACAATTTAGCAGTCTCAAACTGCTTCTGAACTTTTTCAAAACCACACAACTTTTGATTCTTGTCTGTTAGGCTCTGCACCCCTGATGTGCTTACGCAGTTGATAAGTGGATTTCACAACTATGGAAAACAACCTTCTTAGATACGAGAGTTTGTTTTGTTTGGGTCTCTTCAGTCACTACCTTATTGAGGGAGAATGTGTTCTTATCCTGATCACGTTGCCCCAATCAATTATTTTTAGTTATTCCCAAGAGTACCCGCTACATTTGGGTCCCACAGTGGCTTGGTTTCCATTCTCAACTTGCTTTCAGCCTGTTATTTTCTACATTTTGCCTTGACTTAATCCCTGCCATCAGACGCACACACTTAAATTTTATCTTATCTGTATGTCCTTGTGGGCTTATCTGCTTAACAAATACTTTAGTGCCTTAGCAATGCTCACACCTCTTGTACGTTTCCCCAACAGCAGAGCTGTTTGTCTGCTGGCCAGAATTTGTTCTGATGTCATGACCTTGCTATTCCATCCCAGATCATTGGACTGCAAAACAGTCTCATGCCCGCCCGGCCAGTGAGGCTCAGTGGTTGAGCATTGACCCATGAACTAGGAAGTCAGAGTTCGATTCTGGGTCTGGGCATATGCCTGGGTTGCAGGCTCAATCCCCAGTATGAGGTGTGCAGGAGGCAGTCCATCAATGATTCTCTCTCGTCATTGATGTTTCTTTCTTTCCCTCTCCCTTCCTCTATCTGATATCAATAAAAATATATAAAACAAGCAAACAACAACAACAACCCCCGCCCCCCCAAAAAAACCAGTTTCGTGTCAGAGGGCAAAGTGGTGGCATATTTATCACAGCAACATTTTTATGTTTTTGGTGACAATCCATGGCAACCATGACTGTAGTTACCTGTCCCACAGTCTCATTAGTCATCCGTCTGCACATGTTGTGTCGTGAATGTCTGTCTGCATCATCACCCTTGTGGTTATTAGAATGACTCAGGTGCCGGGGCACAGGAAGTTACTAAGATGATGCTTTCCTCAGTGAATCTCCCTGAGATTAGGGACTCTGACTTCCCATGTTGTGAACGTCACACAAAAGTACTAAAGTAAGAACTCGCAAGTAGCAGTTACACAAAACCTATTTTTTAAATAAATGGCTCTTACTCAATGACATAGTGTGGGAATTGCTTATCTCTGAGTGCCTGTGTCTGTCTATTTCTAATATTCTGGATATTTTTCAAAAAAATCCAAAAGGGGGAAAATAATCATTCCTTTATGCCTTTCCTTTCCCAGGCCTATCAGAGAGGAGCTGCTCCTAAAAGCCGAATCCTTCCAGCTGGTGGCAAAGTGTTAACCTCCGAAGAGGAATACAATCTATTATCTGACAGGCATTTCCCAGACCCTCTTGGTGAGTTGCTGAGCATTCTTTCCCAAGGCAAATTCTTAGACTTGCTTTGCTTAGGGAGACCAGCCGCTCTCAACCGGGGGAGGAGCATTTCACTCTCCAGGGACATTCGGCAGCGTCTGGAGACATTTTTGGTTGTCACAGCTTGGGAGGATGGCGCTGCAGGCATTTAGTGGGTAGAGGCCCGTGATTCTGTTAAACCTACTGCAATGCACAGAACAGTCTGACAATGAAGAATTACCTAGCGCACAATATCGATAGTTGCTGAAGTTGGGAGCCTCTGGGTCAGACACATGCACACCACGGACACATGGGAGATGTGATTGCCCTAATTTAGGTAAACATTGTACCACTTCTGTTATTTTAAACCACATTCAGTAATACACACCTCAGTTGCTACGTTTCTAGTGCTTCAAAAATGAGCCACTGGTTAGACATCTGGAGGTTTGGGGAATATATTGGTGGCTTTCATAGCTCCACAGGACAGCAGAAATAAACACACAGGGCCCCGTCTTTGAAAGGTACAACCTCATCTTTCAGTAAGCATGTCAGGGAATATTATTTTTTCTAATTTTAGGAAGATGTGCAATAGAGTATCCTAAATCGACAAAATGTTTTTAACAAGCGTTACAGTAACTCATAGCTAGGATGTAAAAAAGCATTGAATTAACTAGCGTATTTATAAATAATAGCTGAATGCTGCCATGGAAAGAGCGTGGAACTGAGAATTGGAAGACTGGGCTTTTATCTAGTTCTAACTGTGCCATTTAACAGGTGTTCCCCTAGTGTTACTAAACCTCTCTGATTACTGTTCCTCCAACTCCAGGGCCTTGAACTTGAAAATCTAGAAGGATCTCTCCATCTCTAATATACTTGGGTTTTCATTCATTCTGTGTTTTCCATGTAGAGAAAGTGATGGATAATATGCCTATATAGGCCAAGTAGTGCATTGCATAGAGATTCATGAACTGTGGATAATGTAATAATCCCATCTGGCTTTGTGTAAATCATGCTCCACAGTAATTACTTGGTTTCTTGAAGAGAGCGCTGGTTCTTATTAATGGGTATAATCATTTTATTAGAATTTATGGAGAAAATATAGTTAGTTTTTCCATTGTTCTTTTGGTGAGGAATGCTTAGCATAGTGTTTTTAGTAACACTATTATTAGATTAGTACATGGACCATAAACCTAGATTAAACAAACTATTATTAAGTAATTCAGGCTAAAACAACACTTTATGTGCACTATACATATTATTATATTTTCTTTCAACATCTACTTATATGTCACCGTGGCTCTGGAAATGGGAATATCAACATGCTGACCCTTCAGAATCTCTCTCCAAAAGGACTTTCCAATGAAATCATTCAGAACACAATATACTTATTGATTTATTGTTGATATCATATCAGAAGGAATGAAAAGGAATAAAAAACACGAGTCCTGTGTGACTAATGCCATTTGGTTCAGGGCTTCGGATTGGGGCATTTCAGTGACTTTTTTTTTCTTCATTATATCTGTGGCCTTCTGAGTTTTAAAAATAGAACATTCTACAGTAGATCATTTGTGATATCCTTGTGACTCAACTCAGAAAAAAATTCAGACTAATGGCATCTGGAAAATTTCTGTAAAAGGTTAAATGAGAGGTAGCTAGAGACTAACAGGATCTGAGCGGGGTGGCTTTACACGAGTCTCTGGGAATTGATTTTGAGGGAAGAGGTAAAAGTCCCCATTGTTCAAGGCTTTTAAAATGTCCTGGGACAATGTAGCACATTTATTCATTCAACAAACTATAGTCCAGCATCTACTAGGTTCCATGACTGTGCCATGTGCGGAGGATACAAAGATATGTCAGATGCAGTCTCCATCTTCTGGGGGCCCTAGGGCAGTGGTGTAGCTTCCTGGGGAGAATCCGTGAGGGAGCTTGTCTGAGACGGTGCCCCTCACCCTGAGTGTGGGTGCCAGACATAGAAACAGATCATTACAATCTTTTGGGAGAACAAGGTAGGGAGCACCCACGTCTGTCTGGTGGCAGAGGGAGGTGTCAACAAAGGCACCGCAGAGCAGGGGGCTGTTGAATGGACTTTTGAAGGATGAATGAGAATTTTCTGTGGAAAATCATGATGGAAGGGGAGGAGGAAAGTTACTATGAACTGCACAAGTGATATGCAAAGTCGTGGAGTCAATGACCACACCTGGGGAGAGTGGAAACCAGTACAGAACAGGGAACGAGCGCCAAGGGGGGGGGGGGGGGGGGGGGGTGTGGAGAGAAGGTGCAGAGGAACCGGAAAAGGTGACAAAGAAGAAGCAGTCTTTAAAAAGCATGAAGGACACCAGGAGAGACGAGCTCCTGGAAGTCATGGGAAGAGAATGTTTCCAGAAGAAGGTATGGTTAGCAGCAACAGACATTTCAGATCATGTTCAAAGGATAGATAATAAAGAAGGAGCCACAGGCTGACAATCAGGGGGACATTAGTGACCTCAGCAATTTGGTTTCTGGGCTGGAGCAGCAGGAACCAGACTAAGGTGTGTACAGAGGTTGATGGCAGGAAGACAACAAGTGACAGGGAGGAGGGAGAGAGTGCAGGGCACAGAGCAGACCTGGTGGCACGGGGCCTGGGGAAGAGAAGGGGGGCGGTCTGCATAGCTGGACAGAGTGGCTTGCAGAGGACCACTAGGGAAGAGGGAGCTCTGTTGGTGCATTTCGTTGATGTGAGGAAGTTGGGAAAGATTGTGTCCGATGGCCTTGCTTGTCCCTCTCCCGTAGGAGGTGAGGCCACCTGCTGGCGGGAGACAGGTGAAGCTGGTGGAGAGATGTGGGAGGAGCCTGAACTCTCAGTCCCTCCCCCCCTAGACATCTCTCACCACCTTTCCATCCCATGGCCTGCCCTAGAGAGTTCCCTTCACAGCCTGAAATAAGTATTTTAAATAACAGATGCACAGTACAAAACATCTTTGTGTTTTCAATATTTCCGTAGCATCCAATGAGAAGGAGAGCACCCCGCCCTTTGTGGTCCCGCCGAAGGAATTCCCGGTGTACCTGTGGCAGCCATTCCTCAGGCACGGCTACTTCTGCTTCCAGGAGGCCACTGAGCAGAAGAAGTTCCACGCTCTCCTGAGCGACTGCATCCGGCATCTGAACCAGGGTACGGCACCCCTGCCCTCTTGTCCCCAAGCTAAGCAAGAGTCTTGCGCTCAGGGAGCGAGGCCAACGTGCTGGCTGCTTAGCCCAGTCCAGAGGCCTCGGTGAGACAGAATGTGGAGCAGGTATCTGATGGCACCTGTAGGCACGCATTTGAGGCGCCTTCTTCGCACATGCAATTTTGCATGTAGTTCATCCTCCTCCTTTTCCCTGATTATTAAAAGTATAAATGACAGCAAGAACATGTCACTTGTCCCTGACAAAATCCTAGTCCTTATGATACTTATTGTTTATTCCCTTCTTTATTTTCGAATACTAGTTACGCAAAACTTTAAGATGCATAAGTATCACCTAGAGCAGCGGTCGCCAACCTTCGGACCTCATGGGTCACCAGTGGTCCGCGGATCACCGGTTGGCCACCACTGACCTAGAGAACTTACATTCAGGTTTGGGGGTTCCATTCTCAGCTATTCGGATGGACTGGGTCTGTTGCAAGCCCTACATTTTGTTCTGTCCCCAAGCTAAGCAAGAGTCTTGCGCTCAGGGAGCGAGGCCAACGTGCTGGCTGCTTAGCCCAGTCCAGAGGCCTCGGTGAGACAGAATGTGGAGCAGGTATCTGATGGCACCTGTAGGCACGCATTTGAGGCGCCTTCTTCGCACATGCAATTTTGCATGTAGTTCATCCTCCTCCTTTTCCCTGATTATTAAAAGTCTAAATGACAGCAAGAACATGTCACTTGTCCCTGGCAAAATCCTAGTCCTTATGATATTTATTGTTTATTCCCTTCTTTATTTTCGAATACTTATTTACTCAAAACTTTAAGATGCGTAAGAATCATCTAGAGCAGCGGTCGCCAACCTTTCAGACCTCACGGGCCACCAGTGGTCTGCGGATCACCGGTTGGCCACCACTGACCTAGAGAACTTACATTCAGGTTTGGGGGTTCCATTCTCAGCTATTCGGATGGACTGGGTCTGTTGCAAGCCCTACATTTTGTTCTTCTGACAAACTGCCTGGGCTGGTGGTACTGCAGGTTCATGGGCCACACCTGTAGCAGTGTGGCTTTAGACCACTGTGCTCAAGGTATGGATGTAATGTATGTCTAGAATAAAGACTTTTCACTCTAATATGTCACACTTTTGCTGAATGGATGTGAATGCTGGTTTTCTGGACTCCATGAAGCCTCCAGTTACAGCTACTTCACAAGTTAACTTAGTTCTGAAAGTTAATGTGATAGAGAGTAGCTAGAGGTCGCTACATCGTGAAGAAGGGAGCCCAGTACTTCAGTCTCTTGAGCAGGTAACATTGGAGTTATCACCTCACCCCCCTGTGCCTTTATTTCCTAATAGGGCCAGTTTCATTGTGCACTTACTTTAAAGTTCTAGGGTTTCCCCGAGAGTGTCAGCCCCACAGAGAAAAAAATCGCCAGCCAGTTTTTGATGTTAGCTTGCATATGGATAGACCAATGGAAAAAGATAAGGTCACTGTATTTTGCTGTAGCAACTCTGAACAACATTAGTCATAATATTGTCTCATAATCAGTTAGGGACTTTATAAAAATGGTACCTACTTAATATCTTGCCTTGTGGTTTAGATGTCTTAGAGACAAAGGCTCGCCCAGCACCGCCTGCTCTATCTGGCTCATTTTCCAGTGCGCTTCCACCTCTGTGTCCGGGCTCTGGTCTAGTACAGACATGCAGTCGGCACTAAATGCAACCACCACAAGCTTTCCTAAGCAAAGGATATTCTGGGCCCAGCCAGATGGGACTTGCTTCATTCCCCTTCCATGGACATAATAGGAATTTCTCTGGGGAGTCGCTAGCCTGCCTTTCGACTCCATTTATGGTAGGTTTGAGTCGATTCAAACCAGCCCTGCTCTCCAGTATGCTCTCAAAGGCACCAAGATAATGAGGTCTAGTCACATTGCCCTGCTTCTGTGTCGCATTCCTCTGTCCAGAAGCCTCTTTTCCTCACTGATGCTTCATGCAGGCTTAATGTGACTTGGCAGTAGCTCTAATCCGAACCAGGGACCATCACAACACTGTAGGGAACGGTCCTTGCCTGTCCCGTGCCGATGAGCTCATGGGTCTTTCCCTTCTCTCCTCTGTGCCTGTGTTTTTGACAGCACAAAGCACCACTCATCTTCACGGAATCATTTTTTAAAATTTGTTTCCATCTCTACCTGTTATTCAATGAGAGGTTTCGCAGACTCCTAGTTAACTATTATTCATTTCACGGTTACCAGAAGAGTTTATAAATAGATGTAATATTAGGGCCGTGATACAGGCCAGAAACCCTGAGGGGCCTTCAGGAGGCTGCTGACTTCTGCCCCAGATAACGAGAGTCAGTGCTGTCCCCCTGCTTCTCTGGCGCCATTGGCTCGGGCCACCAGGCACCTCTGTTGAGAACTAGGTCTGAGATATTCTAGCAGCGGAGGCTGGGCTACTGTTGATCCCATCCACTCACAAGTCCTCAGGGATCTTCCCCTCCCCCCAGTTTTATTGAGATATAATCTATACATATAAAAAGCCAGCGACTGTAACAGCCATAACAACTGGTCGCTATGACACCCACTGTGGCCAGCGAACCGGCCTGATTAGAGGCTGGCCGGCCAACTTCTCGGCCCCTTCCCCCGGCCGGCCAACTTCTCGGCCCCTTCCCCCTGCCTGTCTGCCCCTAATTGAACTCTCCCACCTCGATCAAGAGCAGGACCACCCGGCCAAAAGC